CAGGTCTCTATAACTTTTTTTTTTTTTTTGAGACAGTCTCTTTTGTGTAGACCAGGCTATTCTGGAGCTCTTATGTAGACCAGGCTGTCCTCGAACTCACTGAGACCCACCTGCCTCTGCTTCTTGGGTGCTGGGATTAAAGGCTGCACCACTACACTCAGTATGTATAACATTTTTGAAATGGGAAATTTTCAGAAATGAAGAATGAACCCATGGTTGCCAGTGGATGAGATTGAGGGGCAAGGCATTGATGGATGTGGTTAGGCCAGGGCAGCAAGGTTCCTGTGATGGCCCTATTCACTATCCTACCTGTAGTGATGAAAAACAATGGCATAGAGCTAAATATGCAGGCAAGTGAGCATAGTAAATGGGGAACCGAGGAGCCAGAGGCAAGAGGATCAGAGTTCAAGGCCACCCTGGGCAGGAAGACCTTAAGTGAAAAACAGCAACAAAACTCAGCCAGCCAGGGAGAGCCAGATGAGATCACAGGGTTGTGTCCTTGTTCTCTGGCTGTAAGAGCTACCAGGCAGCTGTGCAAGCTGTCATCACCTTCCAGGACTTAGGCTCAAGAAATTTGTATTAACTTTTTGTTGTTGTTTTGTCTTTTCTTTTTTTTTTTTTTCTCGAGACAGGGTTTCTCTGTATAGCCCTGGCTGTCCTGGAACTCACTCTGTAGACCAGGCTGACCTTGAACTCAGAAATCTGCCTGCCTCTTCCTCCCAAGTGCTGGGATTAAAGGCGTGCACCATCACTACTGTTGTCTTGTCTTTTGAGGCAGGGCCTCATTATGTATCTATCCCTGGCTCTTTGGAACTGGCTAGGAAGACCTGGCTGCCTCTGCCTCCTAAGTGCTGGGTTAACGGGCTCTGTGCTAACTAGTCCTTAAAAAATTTGTTTATTTGTGCCTTCGTTTATGGATGTGTGTGTGTGTCTGTGTGTGTGTGTTATGCATGTGTCTGCAGGTTCCCCCAGAGTCCACAAGCAAGTATCAGATCACGTGGAGCTGGAGTACAAGGAGTTTTAAGTCACCTGAAGTGGGTCCTGGGAACCAAACTTTAGTCCTCGGAAGAATGGCAGGTGCTCTTGGCTGCTCCCAAACTAGCTTTCTGGGTTTTGTTGTTGGCTTTTGAGACAGGGCTTCAATATGTAGCCCTGACTGACCTTAAAGTTCTCTACCTACCTCTGCTGAGACTAAAGGCATATGCCACTCTGCCCAGCTCCTTAGAGTTATTTCTCAACACTAAATATGAGCTTGTCGGGACAGTAAGTGAAACAAGCCAGTCAGAAAAGGACATGCACAGGCTGATCCCATGTACATGAAATGCCTAGAACTGCTTCTTTAGAAGACCAGTCGTTGCTGTTCTCAAGGCCAATGTGAGAGGCAGTTCAGTGGGACCATTTTCTCAGTTTGGGAAGATGAAGAAGCAGCTCTGGTGCTGGCTGTTGACTGTTGCAGTACAATCCTGTGAACATTCTTAGTTACTGAGGTATTCACAGAAGTGTGATGAGGACTGGGAGGTGGCTCAGCAGTCAAGAACACTTACTGCACTTCAGAGGTCCTGGGTTTGGTTTCAGCATCCATATTGGGCAGCTCAAAACCCCCTCTAACTGAAGCTCCGAGGGATCCGAGGGTTCTGACCTCCACAGGCAGACACACAAGTGGCATTCATTGACACAGATATACACATGTGCACATAATGATAAAAACACCAACCTTGTAAAGTGTTTAAATGGTCAGTTGTAATTTTACCACTCCACACATATACCAAAAAAACCAAACAAAAACCCCACACAAGTCAAACCAAACATGAATCTTAGCTATGTAAAGTAGTATTGCTTTAATATTTCTACTGTTAAGATTAATGTTGCTCCCCAAAACAGGGTCTCACTATGTAGCTCCTGCTGTGCTGGCACTCACTATATAGACCAGGCTGGCCTCCTGCCAGCCCCCACCTCTGGAGTTCTGGGGTCAAAGGTGTGCACCACTACATCTGGCTGTGATGATTAATCTTGTCAGTTTAATCGAGTCACCTAGGAGGTGACTAGAGTATCTCTGGCTCTGATCTGTGATGATTGGCTAATGAGAGCTCTGGGGTAGCCCGGTGGTGAATTCAGAACTTGTGTAGACTGTTGGTATCTTGTTACTGGGGTAATCTGCTCCCTGTCCCCTGTGCCACTCTGCCCACATGATGACGGACTGAGACTGTAAACATTCCGTGATCTATTGCTCTTGCAGAGGACTCGGGATTGGTTCCTGTCTTAGTCAGGGTTTCTATTCCTGCACAAATATCATGACCAAGAAGCAAGTTGAGGAGGAAAGGGTTTATTCAGCTTACACTTCCACATTACTGTTCATCACCAAAGGAAGTCAGGACTGGAACTCAAGCAGGTCAGGAAGCAGGAATTGATACAGAGGCCATGGAGGGATGTTTCTTACTGGCTTGTTTCCCCTGCCTTGCTCAGCTTGCTTTCTTATAGAACCCAAGCCTACCAGCCCAGGGATGGCACTACCCACAATGGGCCTTCCCCCCTTGATCATTAATTGAGAAAATGCCTTACAGCTGGATCTCATGGAGGCATTTCCTCAACTGAAGCTCCTTTCTCTGTGATAACTCCAGCTTGTGTCAAGTTGACACACAAAACCAGCCAGTACAGTTCCCAGTACCCACATATTAGCTCACAATCATCTGTATCTCCAGTTTCAGAGGATCTGATGCCCTTTTGTGACCTCAGCAGGTACTAGGTACAGACATGGTGCACATACGTGCATACAGTCCAAACAGTCATACGTATAAAATAAATAAATAGGAAGAAGAGGAAGAAACTGTGCATGCTGATGTCATTAATCCCAGCATTCGTGAGACATAAGCAAGCAGACCTCTGGTTTTGCATTAACCTAGTTTACATGGTGAGTTCAAGGTCAGTCAGCCTCATAGTAGACCCTGTCTCAAAAAAAGAAAAAAGAGAAAAAAATATGTTTGTATATGTTTTGCCTTTTAATCTCAGTACTCAGGCAGCTGTGAGACAGGAGGATGACTTTTGATCAGCTAGGGCAAGAGCAAGATGCAGTCTCAGAAGTATTGAGGGTGGAAAGCAGGTGATAGGGCAGCAGCCATGTAGAGGAGCAGGGTTAGTAAGCTTTGCTGGCATCACATTTTGCAGTATAGAGTGTGCATGCTACACACACAGGAACTCAAAGTGGTTGTTTGTGTGCATGTGCACACATGTGCTAATTGCTTCCAGCAGTTGTAGACTGAGAAGATATGTAGGTTGAAGTTTACAAGGTCTAGGGTACGGGGTAGGAGCTGGAGAGATGGCTCAGTTGTTAAGAGCACTTGTTCTTCCAGAAAACATGCGTTAAGTTCCCAGCACCCACATCCAGTGGCTCACAATTGCCTCAACTAGTTCCAGGTGATCTGACACCCCCTTCTGGCCTCCATAGGCTCCCCAAACGTAACATTGCATACATTTAACATATGCACACACAAAAGTTTAAAAAATATCTTGGAGAGAACATGTCAAATTCTAAAGTTAGGTTTTCTTTTTTATAAAGTTAATCCAATCCAGGAACAGGTACTTTAGTGGAGCAAGATAAACAACAAATTAATGAGACATTTTTAGGAGCTGGAGAGATGGATCAGCGGGTAATAGCATTTGCTGCTCCTACAAAAGACCCTGGTTCGAGTGCCAGAACACATAGTGTGGCTCTCAACCAACTATATCTCCAGTTCCAGGGAATTAACAGGCACGCATGTGATGCACGTACATACATGCATACACAAAATCTAATATGACATTATTCAGAAAAAGTGAGCATGGTATAAGGAAACTGATGAGTGTGATGAATATGTTTATATCTTAATTATGGGGTTTTCATCAGCACATACATGTGCCCAAATGTGGCAGACTGTGCACTTTACATATGTGCAAGTTATGCACCAGTGATTCTTCGTGTGCGTGTGTGTGTGTGTGTATGTGTGTGTGTGTATGTATGTATGTATGTATGTATGAGATAAGCAGGATGGAATTCATTCAGATTGTGGGTCAGAGACTTCCTGAGGTTATGTTTGCACTGATTACCAACCAACAAGGGACCAGCCAAGTTTGCAGACAGAACCATCTTACTGCTTGTTGAGGAAGCCAGGCAGCCGGTGTGGTTGACACTCAGTGAAGTGAGGGGAAACTAGACCATGGCATGCCATGACCTCCATGGACAGTGAAGCAGAGAACCCAGCTACTGAAGTGTCTTAGAGCAAACTTTCTGGTTTCCTTTCCCATCAGACTTTGCTGCAGACGTTGGTTATAAAGAAAAGAGTACACTGAAGCTGGCCTCACAGTGATGTAGTCAGAACATAAGGCCAGATTCAAACTAGCCTGAATACTCTACAACCTGAGAGCTAATAAATACGTCTATTGCATGGGAAGTTGTGGGCAGCTGTGACAATTTGTGGGGGAGGTGGAGAGGGATAATAGGGGAGAGGGTTTAGAGGTAATGTCACCATGAAGAGGTCCTCATATGATTTGGCCTACAGTTGCCAAAGCATCACAGGGAGGGAAGGAATAGGCCAGCAAAAGGACAGCTCTGAAAGCAGACACTGCTGACTAGTGCTGGGTGGTTTATATGTACACAATTGAATCAAGAAAGATACGGAAAGTGAAAATTCAAGAACAAAACAAAAACCAGGGCAAGCCATGTGTGCTGGGGGCAAGCCTTTGGTCCAAGTACTCAGGAGGCAGAGGCAGGTAAAGACCAGCCAAGGAATAGAAGACTATGTCTCTAAATAATAATAATGATAATAATAGTGGTAGTAATAATCAGGGCAGGCACTGAAAGAGCAGCCAGCATCCTCCTGCGTGCCCTGTTATGATGGCTGCTGTCTTTGTTATTTTCTCCCATTGCAGAAAGCCACTAGGCATCAGGGTCCAGTGTTGGCTCATGGGAGTGAAATGTGACCGGAGCCAGTTCAGCTTTTCTACCCTTATGTTCTCTCCCACTGCAGCTTTTCCTCCCCTCCATGAGAAAGAAGCCAGACCTGGCCGATGGCAGCAATCCTGATGGTGATCTCCTCCAGGAACACTGGCTGGTTAATGACATGTTCACCTTTGAGAACGTGGGCTTCACCAAGGACGTGGGCAACATCAAGTTTCTGGTCTGTGCAGACTGTGAGATTGGACCCATTGGCTGGCATTGCCTAGATGACAAGAACAGCTTCTATGTGGCCTTGGAACGAGTCTCCCACGAGTAACTGAGGGGATAGGGACTTGGCTCCACCCTGGCTATAAAACTCCCCCACAAGAACCAACACTGGACCTGGTGCATCAGCTGTGCTGGCAGACTTCTTGGTACTAATCTAAATGATGAGCACTGGTGTTTGCCCTTGAACCTGCAGAGGGCCGGTCCTGCTTCCGTCAGGCCTCAGAGAATGCCTCCCACTTAGTCCTCTCTGTCACAGCACGTCCTGAAGCCCTCTCCCCTGTTTGGAACATGGAAGAACATGCAACTACTCTACCAGTGTAGTCTGGTCCCTGGCACTCCGCCACCACACACACCATGACCCAGGGCTCTCTTCTCAACAAGAGCAGCATTTGTCTTTTTAGCCATGATGACAGGAAGGCAGATGCTCCCTCACTAATAGTTGAAAGTCCACTTTTTCTCATTCTAGAAGCCAAGTGTAATAGGGTGCACACCTGTAATCCTCGATCTTGGGAGGTAGAGGCAGGAAGGTCAGGAGTTCAAGGTCAGATTCAGCTACATAGCCTGGGCCAGGTGAGAGTTGTCTCAAAAAACATAAAGCATACAAGTATTTAAGAGTAACTTCATTGTATGTGACCTACTTGTTCACAGTAATTTATTCTTTTTAAAAGTAAAACATTTACAAATGTCAGTATTTAAACCTATTCAGAAACATTATTTTAGACACATTTTCAATACTGTGTTTGTGAGCCTTTCTTCTGGGTTGATAGTGGCATTTTATAGTGAAGATGAGCGTGACCCTTCTCCCCTCAGATCTTGATCTGTTTTCTTTTTTTATTAGCTCCTTGCTACTGCAGTCTGTGTTGTCAACCCTAAGGGAAACTGAGCCCTAGCTGTGTACCAGGCTCTCTTGAAATCAGAGTAGAGAGTGTAAGATATACAAGAGGTAGGCCTTAGCCAGTTCACACCTGGATTATTAGGAAAGACTTTTTAAATACAGGTGTCGGGGTCCTTGGGATTTCAGTTCACTTGGACTGTCGATCCCGACCCAGAATGCAAGCCTTTTCCACCGAGATTTCTATTGTTACAGACTCGGTGTCACCTTTTCTTATTAGCCAACTTAAATCTTCTACATGATTTCCAGTTACTTTGTCATTTCTCTTCTGGAGTGATTCAGTAGCTTAAAAGGACTCTGTATAAACAGGTTCAAATGCTGTGTCATCATCCCTTCCTCTGGGGGCCTGAATTGAGATAACTAAAGACCTCATTATTCCTCTAATGCCAGTGCTTAAGTAGTGAGAGCAGATCAAGAGTTCACGGTCAGCCTCAGCTGTATATCGAATTCAAGGCCAGCATGTACAACATGAGATCTTGCTTCAAATGAACAAACACAAAAAAAACAAGTAGGAACTGGAAAAATGACTCACAGTTAAGAATGTTTGCTGCTCTTTCAGAGGACCTGAGTTCAATACCTAGTACCCCCATGGGAGGTTCACAGCTGCCTATAACTCCAGTTCAAGGAGGTGTGCACCTTCCGGTCCCTGCAGTTGCCTGCACGTGTGGTGCACATACAGACAAGCAGGCACACACATACAAATAAGGAAATAAAAATTTTACAGATTAAACAATGGTTTCTTCCTTGGCATCTGTTTTCTGGGTGTTCTTCCCTCACTGAAGCTTTTAAGGGCTCTCCCTCTTAAAGTTCCTCTTAACCATGTCTTGGGCATAGTTTTACTGGCACCCTGCTCTATTCCTTCCCCACCCAGAGTCTGAATCGGCTCTAATCGGCAAAAGAGAGACCCTGTTTTCCAGACAGATAAGCACTTGAAATGTGGCATTTGCAGGAGGGCAGCTGAGGCGACCCACCTGTCAGAAGGAACGGCACAGAAGTCTCTAGGGACACATGACCACTCACTTCACAATTCAAGGACCTGAACTAAACTAGGTGTTTAATTCTGTCTCCCTTTAAAATCATAGAGATAATACATAGTCATTATAAGAATCCGTATGAAGTTTTAATTAACTCAGTTCCATCGGCCAGAGCTTGCCTGTGGTGATGTGTGCATCCTCAGGGTCTCTCTGTGTATGCAAATACAGTTTTCAAAGCAACCATGAGATCACACTGTCCTCGTTTATAACTTGTTTTCTACTAGACAGAATAGGGAACATCTTCCTCTTCAGTACTCCCAGCTGTGCACACTATTGATAGTTTCCCATGGTGGTGCTGGCTGATGCTGTCAACGATCCCCTGTTGTGTTGCCTGTAGTTGCTCATAACAATGGCATAGCAACAAGGGTACTTAACTGCATCTCTGCCGGTAGCTCCTTGGCTTTTGTGACAGAAGCAGAATCGAGGGGTAGGCACGCTGTCACAGCTTTGCCATATGGACACATTCTTCAAACCCGCCAGTATCCCCCCACCTCACTCCCCCTGCAGCAGAGTGAAAGTGTTCATTTTCTGCTCTCCTGCTGGTTATTTTTTATCATTAAATTGTCACTTTCACTTTTTAAAGTGTCTTATTGTTTTATGTGCAATTCTGGTAAAAAAAAAAATTCTATTCTTGCTGGCCACATTCTTTTTTGTTTGTTTGTTTGTTTGTTTGGAAGGTGGTGGTGTGGAAAGGTGGTTTGAGACAGGGTCTCCCTAAGTAGGCTTGGCCAACCTAGAACTTGCTGTATAGACCAAGCTGGCCTCGAACTAGCTTGTGTCCTTTTTTGAGAACTGCCAAACATTGTTGACCCAGTGACCAAAAAAAAAAAAAAAACCCTTAACTGTTCTGCCATTTCAGTTTGATGTGAACGAAATAAAGTCATGTCAACAGTGAGGCTGGAGTCCTGTCTGTCCTGAGCAGAGTACATACATACTTTGTGAGAGCAGAAGAAAGTGAATCCTAAGGAAGGTGCTTAGCCTGAGGTCTCAAGTGGCTGACTCATCACGCAAGACCACCTGTACAAACAATGTCACCTCTTCTTCCTCTCTGTCACAGGTTATTAAGGAATACTTGGAACTCCACTGCTCCTCCCCTGAGGTGGATGGACATGAACAATGGTTGCTGCTGTACTATAGCATCCTGCAATTCCAGGCTAGAGGTGCAGGTCCTAGGCAGGGTACCTGTGTACCCTGTGCCTGTTAGCTGTAACACCAGCAAACAAACAAGAAAATCCCTTCAGTTCCTACTGGGGAAAGCAGCTGATTTTGCCTAAACCTATTTACCTCTACAAAATTGTCCTTTCAAAACTCAGAATTGGGCTGGAGAGATGGCTCAGTGGTTAAGGGTGCTTGCTGCTGTTGCAGAAGACCCAGGTTCAGTTCACAGCAACCAAATGGCAGGCAGCTCACAACTGTAAACCAGTCCCAAGGGATCTGACACCTCTGGCTCTCTTCTGGCCTCTTCGAGGACCAGGCATGAATATGCTACACAGACATTACTCACAGAATCAGTTAGACTTGGTGGCACATGGACTTTAACATCAGCACTTAGGAGGCAGAGGCCAGCCTGCTCCACATAGCAAGTGCTAGCCCAACCAGGTATACATAGTAGTAAGACTATCTTAAAAAAAAAAAAATGTTATCCTGTTAAGAGCTTATTCTGTTTAGGAAAAAAAAAAAGTGCTTCTCAAAGATTGGAAAATGGAGTCTTTCTCATCTGATCTCAGTGAGATGATGATAGGGAAAGGAAGTGGGTTCAGTTAAGGCACCATCTTGAACTGCTGAGGTGTCTGCATTTGTAATTCACTCTTGTGAAAGCTTGGGGAGCTTGGCCCTGGCTCAGAGTGGGCAGAAAAGCATGGCCCTGCTGCTCAGTGTTTACGTTGACTCTGGTGGTGGGGTCAGGTCTGCAGATAACTTGTAAGAGTGAGTTACCACCTTCACCTCCTGGGTCTCAGGAATCAAACTGTCACAGGCCTGGTACCAAAAGTTTGACAACATGAGCTCGGTTCTGAGAACCTGGAGAGAACCGATTCCTCAAAATTACACTCTGACTTCACGTGCCCTCCCCTGATCACACATACACATGATAGTAAAGAGAAAGAAGCTCTGAGTATGGTGGCACATGACTTTAACCACAGCAATCTGGAGACAGAAGCAAGCTGGTCACTGAATTAGAAGCCAGCCTGGTCTACCTGGTAAGTTACAGGCCAGCCGAAGCTATGTAACAAGGCCTTGTCTCAGTAATGTCGTAGTAGTAGTAATAGAATTAATAACAATAAATTTAAAAAGTGAGAGATAAAACTGTTAAGGATTAGTCTTTTGCTTATATTGTAATATTACATACTGGCCCCCATGCTTTTGCTTATTGTATTATTTTTATATTATTATTATTATTACTACTACTACATACTGGCCCCATGGCCTAGCTGCTCCCGGAGATGAGAGAGTCCGCATTTAGACCCAAGTGACACTATGTGACCTTGCCTCCCAAATTATCCCTGGTTTGTGAATAAAGAAGCCTATAGCCAATAGCTGGGCAGAGGAGAGCTAGGCAGGGTCTTGGATTCCAGGGCTAGAGGTCAGAGGAGACCATGAGGGGAGAGGAAGGAGGGGGAGAAGAAAGATGCCATGGGTTAGGGGCCAAGAAAGCATGGCCATGAGCCCAGCCAATTGGAGTTAAGAGCAACCCAGATGAAGCATAGTAATGACTGGGAATTATCGATAGGAAATAGATTTTAATAACATAGAGAATAGATATCTACCCAGTTCTAATGCTGATTAAGGCTTACTGTAAATAATAAAAGTTGTGAGTCTTTTTTCCAGGATCTGAATGGTCAAAGGCGGGGTAGAAACCCTGGATTGGGATATATATATGTATGTATATGTATATATATATTTTTTTTTGTTTTGTTTTTGTTTTTTGTTTTGTTTTTCGAGACAGGGTTTCTCTGTGTAGCTCTGGCTGTCCTGGAACTCACTCTGTAGACCAGGCTGGCCTTGAACTCAGAAATCCGCCTGCCTCTTCCTCCCAAGTGCTGGGATTACAGGCGTGTGTCACCACTGCCTGGCAGGATTAAATATTTTCAACAACATAAAACTTTAGATTGGAGATGGTTTAGACAACATAACTAAATCTGTATGCCCCTAAGTGGCTTAGTTTTCATTGGTCAGATCTAAATAAGTATCACAAAAGAGGGCTGTGCTGTTTCCACACATGACATTACAGATGCTCATTTCCAATAATCTGTGGGCTATAACCGACAGTCAGCAGGAAGGAAAAGACATCTTTCATCGGCTGACTATTAGCAGGTGCAGCGAGTTTGAGGAAGAGCTGACAATATTGAGTGGGCAACTTTTTGTTGTTGTTGAGAGAGGGTCTCCCAGGTCCCAGACTGGCCTCAGACTCACTCCATGGTTAAGTATGACCTTGAATTTCCAGTCCTTCTGCCTTTACCTCCTAAGTGCTGCTACTGATCTGCATCTCCAGCGGAAGCTTCCTTTTCATTTTCTTTTTGGAACAACAGCTCATCATGTAGCCCAGGCGACCTGAAACTGCCCCTTCCTCCTGCTTCAGTCCCAAGTGCTGTGACGACAGGAATGACCCCGCACACTCAGAGTCAAAGCTTTCTCTTTATCATTAGCATCCCTGACTTCAGTAGAATGCATTTGTGACTTTGTGAGGGTCAGTGACAGATGCAGAGACACTTGGATGCTCACCCATGCCCTCAGTCCCTCCCATGTGCCTCCACTTTGGAACTGGCAGCCTCACTCAGCCCAATTCTTTGAAATCAAAGAACACTTTGCAGAACTGGAACTTAACCTATACACCTGGACTTTATATATACTGGATTTTAACCTCCTTGGGTCATATGAAAACAAGCATTGATATTCAAAATGTTGCAGGACCATTTCAAAGAGCATGGTTAGTCTTGTGGGAAGATGGCTGCAGGAATCTAAGCAGCAGCTGGTCTGATAGTGACTGAATCTTCCTGTGTTCTCAGCAGAGAGTCATTACGACTGCAGATAGTCTTCGTGCAATTCAAATGTCCAAGCCTGAATGCAGGACTGCAATGAGAATTGAAGCAGGAAGTGATGACAGATGCCTTGGGCTCCTCTTGAATGTGCTACACAAATGTCGAGAGTAAACCATGTGGGGTGAGATGTGCAATCATTTGATAAATATCAATTAACCCTCCCGAGTTTGTAAAGGGTCTAGTTTATAATTCGTAGGCATTAAAATCCCACCTCAGCTAATAAGCAGCCTAGAGAGGGGGCCCTGAGCAGAGAACAGTTATGCACTTACTCCCTGGGGGAAAAATAACGTAGAAGTAACATCCATTACTACCTAAAACACTGGTCTGAGTCATCTGAACAGGGGAAGCTGCCCAGTCACCAACACCTACACTGTTATTTCATACTCCTGTCTGCCCCCCCTCGCAGCCAGGAACAGGCTCTATCGGTCTCTCTCTCTCTCTCTCTCTCTCTCTCTCTCTCTCTCTCTCTCTCTAATTTTTTGGTTCTTTCTCATTTTTTTTTTCCGAAACAGAATTTCTCTGTGTAGCTCTGGCTGTCCTCGAACTCACAGAAATCTGCCTGCCTCTACCTGCTGAGTGCTGGGATAAAAGGCATGTGCTAACAAGCCTGGGTAGGATTGGGTTTCAGTGCCGCATTCTTTTCTTCTCTAGTGCTTACTAAAGGTTTGCCCACGTTTCGAATGAGCTCCACGGTCTTACTGGGGTAAAGCCCCAGGAGAAAGACGGAAGGTGTACCCCCAAAGATTGGATCTCTCCCCCACGGAAGGTGTAGCTGGAGAGAAAGCCGGCCGCAGGCCTTTACAAACTGCCCAATGACTGCCTTAGGCGACACAGACCCGGTCCAGCCCCACGCTCGGGGCTGTCGCCACGTGCCTACTGAGAGTCCCTCAGTACCACGCGTCTGCGGTCCCCCGCGGACCTCACCTAGCTAGCGCAGTGATTGTGTCGTCAGCGGGGCGCGAGCTACGCTGAAATGTGGGCGCGAACCCGGGACTACTTGGGCTTGTGGGTCTACAGGGATCTTGAAACCGCCTTTGCTCCGCTCTCCTCGCACGGGGACCTGGAGGCGCACTCTGTGGTCGCCGGGACAGGTTTCTCCAGTTCCCAACTCGCCCCGCCTTGGAGCCTTTGTCTAGCCAGTGCCTCTACGGCAGGCTCACGCCCTTCGGTCCCGGAACTACCCAGAGCTTCCGATCGCTCCGGTGCCTGGGAGAATAGAGCTCTTTGCCCTCATTTTCGTGTGTGTGGTGAAAAACTTGGGTCCCTCTGCTAAAACTGTAGGACAGGTCGCAGTAGCCCAGAAGAATTTCCCGATCCCCAAGTAGGTTCCAATCTCCCAACCCCACTTAAAGGCTCTGAAGCTGTGTTAGAGGATAGTTCCTGAGACCACAAAACTGAAGAATGAGGAGGCCCAGAGAGCTGCCTCAGAGGGCAAAAGTGTTGCTATGCAATCCTGAGGACCTGAGTTCAGATCCCTATTATGTATGAGTAGCCTCTGCACTGTGGGGACTGTCCTGGCTGGCTTTATGTCAACTTGACACAAGCTAAAGTCATCTGAAAGGAGGGAACCTCAACTGAAAAAAACTTGCCTCCGTAAGATTCAGATATAGGACATTTTCTTAGTTGTGATGATGGGGGAGGGGCCAAGCCCATTGTAGGTGGTGCTATACCTAGGCTAATAGTCCTGGGTTCTATAAGAAAACAGCCTGAGCATGCCATGGGGAGTAAGCCAGTAAACAGCACCCCTCCTTGGCCTCTGCATCAGCTCCTGCCTCTAGGTTCTAACCCTGTTTGAGTTCCTGTCCTGACTTCCTTCAATGATGACAGTGATGTGAAAGTGTAAGCCAAATATAAACCTTTTTCTCCCCAACTTGCTTTTGGTCATGGTGTGTCAACAAAGTAGTCAAAACCTGAAGGCAGGAATGGAAAGAAAGGATTCCTGGGGCTTGGTAACTTCCAGTTTAGCTCCTGGCTCAGTAAGTGACAAACTGTGTCAAAGGAACAGGGTAGAGGGGGATAGGACGCCCATGTCCTCTGGCTTCCTTATGGCCTCAAATACAAGCATACCCATACACATGTGAGCATTCACTACACATACACACACCAAGCACACACACACACACACACACACACAAACACAGTTTTTTAAAATGAGAAAATAGAGCCTCCACAATATAAAACTTCCCTGAGTGAGGAGAACTGAAAGATGTGGTACAGGTAGGTCTTCTGGCCTCTTGTGTGACCCTTGAATGTGAAGCCAGCCTGAGTTGCCTACTATAGGAGGCAGTGGGCAACTTTTCAGAAGACTGGTTATAACTCCGTCAGTCCACACTTGAGATTCTGCCCCTTTGGAATGTGGAGGACAGAGGTGCTACCATGGGTGAGACCTGTCCTAGACCCAGTGATGGAAGCTGGAAGCTCCAGGGAGACCTGTCTTGAACTCTCTGCTCTTGCCAGAGACAACAGAGGGCACACAATGCAGTGGGATCTGGTTGCTTGGTTTGGGCTTTCTCTAGTTCCTGTCCTGCAAGAGCCAGTCATACTCACTGTCTTCTTAAGTGAAGGCGAGTGAGCTCCCGGAGGTTGTTGGTTTCCAAGTGTAGGAAGACTTAGAAAGAGAGCCCAGTCTTTGGAATTTCTTTTTTCTTTATTTTATGTATGTGAATACACTGTCACTGTCTTCAGACACTCCAGAAGAGGGCATCAGATCCCATTACAGATGGATGTGAGCCACCATGTGGTTGCTGGGAATTGAACTCAGGACCTCTGGAAGAGCAGTCAGTGGTCTTAACCACTGAACCATCTCTTCAGCCCCTGTCTTTGGGATTTCAGCTTCAGCCTTCAGGGAAAAGGGCTCTTCTTAGGAATGGCTCTTCAGGTCCCTCCCTGCTCCCCACATATAGCATGTCATGCTGCTCTGTTCTCCTACCAGTTTGAATGTATCCCCCATTCTCCTCACCAAGCCAGGGTCCAGACGGGTATCCCTGCTGACAGGAAGGGTCCAAGGCCTGAAGCTGGACACAGCCCATGGCACCATGCTGACAGGCAAGATCCTGGGTCCAGAAAGGATTCATTCCTTCAACACCTCTTTCACTGAGACAATCTGGGAAACATATCTCCCAGGCTGTCTTTGTGGACCTGGAGCCTGCTGTCACAGCTGAGTGGGCAGCCCATATTTCTTGCCAGTCCCGAAATCAGTGGGAAGCTCTGCTTAGGGAGAAGACACTTAGAATGCAGGTGGTCCCTTGCCAAGAACAACACCAGAGCCTGAAGCCTATGGCTTTTGTCTAGAAGCTGAGAGCTAGGGGGAGGAGAGGGGGGAGGAGCTAGGGAATCTGGAGGAGGGGTGGGGGAAGTTACTTTCTTTGCTAAAAGAGGGATTAGTGGCTTGTTCTGCCTAGAAACTACCAGATGTTTGAGTCAAGGGTCAGACCTGGTATGAAGGCTTGGTATGCAGAAAGGGGAGAAAATAAAAACTCCAACTTTTTTTTCTCCCTCACTCAGGCTCTTGAGGATAATGTGGCCCAAGGAGCTGGAGTTGAGAACATTCCTGACAGCCCCTTGCTTAGCTTCGACTGAAATGGCCCTCTAACAGGATGGACCTGTGTGACCTTGGCTGGTTCCATCTGGAACTTCTGCATCTGAAGTTCCCCAATTTCCTGACAACTGTATCCTTCTCCCGGCTTTATAAAGCTGATGTTTTAGATGTTAAACTGTGGGCTGGGTTTTCTGCTTTATTTCTTACTCCATACTAAATCAAGATTCTTCTGAAGACTGGCAAAATCAAGTGGCTCCAGTCAGAAAGAAGAGATTGATAGAACAGGCTCTCATGTAGCCCAGGCTAGCCTCAAGATCACTATAGAGTGAGGATGACTTTTAAACTCTGCCTTCCACAGGCTGGAACTATGGACATACGCTGCCATGCCCAGCCAGAGAAGGGATTGTTAATGGTGCCTCGGACTCCCTCACAGCTCCAATGGGAACAAGGATTTAGAAGTGGGTCCATAGAAATCATGCATATCCAGCCCTCAGCTGTGCCCTTACCCTTACACAGTGTCACAGCAAAGCTTGCAGGGCTTCGGGCCTCTCAGGAAATGAGATTAGACCCATTTGCCTCTGCCTTTCTCCTTCCTCTCAAGATGAATTAGGAGCTGGCATTTGCGGGCAGCTCTCCCATGCCGAGCAGCAATTATGCACATGCCAGTGTACAATGGAGGAGGAGATCATTGAGCTGCTCATGGAATGAATCTGAAAACTGGCGCGTGGAACCAAGTGGCCTTGGCACCTGCAGGAGGTCACTAGCCCTTAGCCTTTTTTTTTCCGGCTTAAAAGATTACCACGTACTGGAAAAGGGGGAAACACCAGCTGCGTTCGACACCGTAGACGTCATTCCGCTGTGATTTCTATGTACCCAGCGATCCCCTAGGGGGAGCTATGTACCCTGCTTGGTGTTGGATTTACGCTTGGAAGCTTGATTAACCTGCTCTACCCAGAGTTCCTGGCTCCCACTTCTCTTTGCTGCTTACTTGCTTGGACTATCTGATCCAAACCTTCTTTGAACTCTGATCTGTGTCTAACAGCACCGCATGTTTTTCTTGGACTCTGTAGATCCCTCCAGCTGGGAGAGCCTCCCTTAGCTCTTAAGTGCTTTTCCAGTTTGCTCCTTACAGTCTGAGAGGAAGGCCAGCTGGAGCCAGTACTTTGGCTCTGCTGCTCTACAGGGACGGTGTAGACAAGCTCAGCGCTTCAGTAGAAATTGGGGCCTCTGGGTTCTGTGCTCCTCTCCTCAGAATGAAGGTAAAACAAAGCGTCTCCCGGGCTTAGACCTTTCTTATTCTGTCGTTATGCATGTGATTGGTAGATGGATGCCTTTCTGGCCCAAGGAACAATATCAGAATTGCCAGGGTATTTGGTAAGCCTGCAGGTTCTGAGGTTCCAGAGTGGGGTGGGATGTGACAATTTGTCTAGAGTCAACCATCTCACCTGTCCTGTCTAAGTCACCTGTGCCAAGAACTCCAAGCCTCTTGCATTCTTTTCTCACCTCTATAGAGGTGAAGCAAAATGACATAAGAGCCGTTTGGGTGATGATGGGAATTTTTGTACCTTGATTGGTTTGGTTATATAATTTCTATTTCTTGCATTGTTTGGTTATAAGAGTATATAGGCTTGCCAAACCGTTCGTTCTTCATATAAGACATAGGAGTATAAACTATGCTTCAAAATTTCTACTATGTGGAAGGGAATGCAATTATATTTAGGTAATAATCACTGTATGAACAGTCAAGAGTTCCCTAAGAGAGAGGGGTTCTGGACAAGGGACATGCCCCCTGTATCCTTAACGGTGATGTCCCTTCAGTAGACAGACCAGTGCACAGTACCCAAGAGCTTACTGATCTTCCAGCACCAAGAGGCAGCTCAGACTTGGGTTTTAACTCCCTGCTAACTCAACACCACCTTTCTCTCAAGTAAGAAGTCCAATTGGAGTTTTTCTATCTACCCAGCCCCATAAATGTTCATAGTGCTTGGAGAGCCCTACAGCTCCATCTTCAAGTCCCAACACAACTCTAAAGTCCTCAGACTGGACCTTTGTGCTAAACTACAGGGCCAGTTATGGCATCTGTCACTGCAGCTTGGACATTGATCGCTTGACCTACAACAGGTTCATCAGCCAGGCCATTTCTGCCATCGCCAATTCCCAGTATCTGATGGTGCCCTTGATGAGGTGTTCCAGACCCTTTTGGTGCTCTTCTCTGTTGACATATGTTTTATTTTTTAGTATTTTATTGGGTTCTTATATCTCTACCTCCCTTCTGACACTTACTACACTCTGATCCCTTCTGACCTCCAACACCAGGTAAGAGAGAAAGATGGTTAGAGAGGAAAGGGGCTGTAGATGTCTTTCAGCCAACAAAATAGATTACTTCCTGGTGATTAGGGGTGTTGAGTTCCTTGGGGCAAATCCAATCTTTGTTATCAAGATATCTCCAACTTCTTGTCAAACCTCAACAGCAGCAACCAGGAGCAGCAGCCTCCTTCCAGAGTACCCTGGCCCTTCTTGGGGCTCTGGGATTTATACCCTCTCCAGAGTCCCCAGCATTAAATTATCTGCAACTAGAAAAAAAAAATCACACCCCTGCTAATTCATGAGGCAAACCATAATCACCTGTTGTGAAGCAGCCTCTTATCCCACACCTGGGATTAAAACAAAAACATATTCACACAATATAACTGGGTTTTTTTTTTTAAAAGAAACCAGAATTTTCACTACTCTACCCCGGATCCAGTTTTCGCTGATGACCTCTGTCCCAGCTGAGAAGGCCCACCACGAGCAGCTCGGTGTCAAAGATCAGTGAGCATTGAACTTTCTAATCAGATGATCGAGTGCGGCAAGTACATGGCCTTCTGCCTGCTCTACCATGACACTTAGTGCCTCTGAATGGGAAGATTACTATTGCTTCTGACAAGTCCAAGTGCAACATCCAGTTTGTAAACTGGTGTCCCACGGGGGTCAAGGCAAGTTGAGGGTGAAGAGAAAGCTTAGCACATAACCCGTGTGGTTCCTAAGAGAAATTCCAGGAGACTGAAATGCACTAGTTATGGAAAGAATAGGACAGGTAGCCCTTGATTTGTCAAGAAAGTGAGGTGTTTGGGCCAGAAGCCAAAGGAGTGGCTTCCTTGTTCAGATATTCCAGGGCATGACCACAATAGGGCTCGCCATCTGAAGGGACTTGCTTCCCACCTCTGCAGTGTCCTGTTACATAGATCACTGTAACCAGGAGCTTGAGATCCTCCTGCCTCAGCCGCCTAGGTGCTGAAATGTGCATCACACATGTGACTCAGAGAACTGGGACATTCAGAAAGGCCTTCATCAGATTAGAGGATGCAGAAGTCAGAAGGCTTCTTGTGCTTCTGCACTTGTGAATACTGTCATTTCCTTTTGAAGTAATAAACTTATTTAACCTCCACCTTGTTACCTGCCTCATTCCCAGGGTGCTGGCATAGGACTTATTTTAAGTTTAATGGGCTTTTTGCTCTAGAACAGTGGTTCTCAACCCTCCTAATGCTGCAGCCCTTTTCTACAGTTCCTCATATTGTGGGGATCCGACCCACCACCACTATAAAATTATTTTTGTTGCTGTTTCATAACTAATTTTGTTACCATTGGAAGTTATCATGTAAATATCTGCTATGCAGAATATCTGATATGGGACCCCTGTGAGGGTCTCGACCAACAGGTTGAGAACCACTGCTCTAGCGTAAGACTTAAAAAAACTAAACATAGCAGTGGTGACATTAGAAAGCATACTCTGGGGGCTGGAGAGATGGCTCAGTGGTTAAGAGCACTGGCTGTTCTTCCAGAGGTCCTGAATTCAATTTCCAGCAATCATGCAGTGGCTCACAGCCATCTGTAATGGCATACAGGTATACATGCAGATAGGACACTCATGAACATAACATAAATAAATCTTAAAAATAAAAAAGCATGCTCTGTCCTCTGTGCTGTCACACTCCTATGGAGGTGACCACAAAGGACTGGAGGCAAGGAGCCCTGGCCCCAGGACTTACAGGTCATAGTTATTTGCTGGTGTAAGAAGTTGTTCTGTAGTTCAGATTGCAAAGCAGGGAGCCTCTTGGGAGACCAGCTGTGGCTGTTCCCACATTAGGAAAGATTTAGCTGCTCTGAGAAAGACTCACACTGCCTTTAGGAACTAATGAACTTGCTGCCCTCAGTGGCACTGGCTGGGAGGGACCATTTTGTTTAGGAGGGAAAACAACCTTGATTGTGAGATATACATATATGATATATATAAGTATGTTTAGTGTTTTTATGTTTAATTTGTATTTAGTTTTTAAAGGGATTTTGCTCTTTTTAATTGTGTGTGTGTGTGTCTGTGTGTGTGTGTGTGTGTGTGTGTGTGTCTGTGTCTGTGTCTGTGTCTGTGTGGGAGTATGTGCACATGAATACAGGAGTCCAAGGAGGCCAGAGGCTTTAGATCCCATAGAGCTGGAGTCACTGGCTGTGGTGAGTCACCAGGTCAGAGCTGGAAGGCGCCTGGGTCTTCTGCAAGAGCAGTAAGCTTCCAACCACTGAGCCCTCTCTCTAGCTCCACACTCATTCTTTTTTATTTATTTGTTTGTTTGTTTGTTTGTTTGTTTGTTTAAGACAAGGTTTCTCTGTGTAGTCCTGGCTGCCTGGAACTCATTCTGTAGACCAGGCTGGCCTCCAACTCTCAGAGATTCACCTGCCTCTGCCTCTTTAGTGCTGGGATTAAAGGTGTGTGCCACCAGTGCTCAGCTCCTCGTCCATTTGTAGACCTAGCAAAATTAATAATACTTCCTCCAAATAAAGGGATACCAAATAAAAGTACCAAATAAGGACTGATGCCGTGGTTCAACCAGGGAAAGGCACCGACTGCCAGGCCTGAGGGCCTGAGCGTGATTCCTTGGAATCCACAGAGGGGGAAGAGAACTAGATGTTCTCTGACATGCATACTGTGGCATGTAGACAAATGCCCATGCACACACACACTCATGTACACACACACATGCACGCACACACACACACGTACATACACATACATGCTGCACACACACGCACGCACATGCACTAAGTTCTTTTTTTAAAAGAGTACCAAATGAGTATTCAAACTCCCCCAGTTGTCCCTAACTGTTTGTTTAAGGGTGTCCTGGAGCTTAGGACCCCATGCCCTACCCTCCTGACTACTGGAATTACAGGGTTATTTCTCTCTTACACTGTTTACTTGTTCAGTGTGTGTCTGTGAGAGTCATGTGCACAGGCATGCTACAGTGTTCATCATACAACATATGTGTGGCTCAAAGGGACAGCCTGTGGAGCTAGCTGTTTTCTCCTCACTACATGGATTCAAGAGATTGAACTCTGGTCTTTGGACCTGGTGGTGGCCCGTACCTGCTTCAATAGCTCACCAGCCCCTGGAATTACAGGTTTCTGTCACCACACCCTGTTTCCTTGTTTCTTCAAGGTGGGAAAGTGCCAGATATCAAGTAACTGTCCTTTCCCCAGTTGTGTGATATTTTCTTTTGGTTTGTCTAGGTTTGGGGTTTTCTTTTTCTTTATTTAAGATGTATTTATCTTATGTATGTGAGTACATTGTCTCCGTCTTCAGATATACCAGAAGAGGGCATCTGATCCCATTTCAGATGGTTATGAGCCACCATGTGGTTGCTGGGAATTGAACTCAGGACTTTTGGAAGAGCAGTCAGTACTCTTAACCGCTGAGCCATCTCTCCTGCCCCTAGAAACAGGTTTTCAATGGGTAGTCCTGGATGTCCTGGAACTCACACTGTAGACAAGGTTGGCCTTGAACTCATAGAGATTTGCCTACCTCTGCTTACCAAGTTCTGGGATTAAAAGCATGCATTACCACTGCCCAGCCAGTTATGAGATCTGTGTGCAAACCTTTCCTAGGGCACAAAGAACCAGCTACTAGACTACTTCCAGTTTCTTCTTAGGATAGCATCAACTCCCAGCCTCCTCCCCCCACCCCATGCTTGGACACAAGTCTATGTTGATCTTGAACTCATGAGCCTTCTGCCTTGCCTCCCAGGTGCTGTGCTAGGGGAATCCTGCTGTGCCTGACTTTGGGCAGATGTTAAGCACTGATATACTTTGAAGGTCCCTGAGACTGTCACATATGGCCTTGCTTTGTGTTCAAGAGACTAGGACTATCATCCATGGAGACATAGAATACCTGTATCTGTAAGTCTTACCTGATTGACCTCCAGAAGGGTTTTGCTGAGACTATAGTCTAGAACCCAGGTCTATAGACTTGACCTCCATGGAAGAGCTGTGTAAACAGCTGTTTGCACTGAATCAGAGCTGTGACCTGCTTGAGTGTCATTCCCTGGTGCTGGCTCTCTCTACTTCCCATCTTCCAGTGTTTGGAGTTGTGAGTGGAGAGATCTGAAGTCCCTTGCTTGGATCTGCCTTCTGTTCCCTATCAACCTGACCCCACCCTCAGTTCCTAGAACTCAGGGCTCTCAGCCTGTGTTCTTCAGTCCTCTTGACTCTGATGGCCCAGAAGGCTTGGGCTTGTCTCTTTTTGATTCATGTTCCCCTTTCCCATTTTAAACAGCACCAGTCCCCATTGCTGTATCTCGGCTCTGCAACTGTATCCACTGTTGACCCTCTATTTGACAATATTTTCCTCCAAAGCTGTTTCTGGTAGCCAACCTGGTTCTTCCACTGTTCCTAGGGCTGGGGCCAGAAGGATAGTTACATACAGGAGGGAGGTAGAGGCTAGACAAAGCTGCCCTATCAAAGTACCTATGAAGGATGCTGTCTTAGGGTTTTACTGCTGTAAACAGACACCATGACCAAGGCAAGTCTTATAAAGGACAACATTTAATTGAGACTGGCTTATGGGTTCAGAGGTTCAGTCCATTATCATCAAGACAGGAGCCCAGCAATGTCCAGTCAGGCATGGTACAGGAGGAACTGAGACTTTTTTTTGTTGTTGTTGTTTTCAAGACAGGGTCTCTCTGTGTAGCCCTGGCTGTCCTGGAACTCACTCTGTAGACCAGGCTGGCTTCGAACTCAGAAATCCACCTGCCTCTGTCTCGCAAGTGCTGGGATTAAAGGCGTGCACCACCACTGCCTGGCTAGGAGCTGAGACTTTTACATCTTCATCTGAAGCTGCTAGCAGAATACTAGCTTCCAGGCAGCTAGGATGAGGGTCTTAAAGCCCACCCCCACAGTGACACATTTCCTCCAACCAGGCCACACCTCCTAATAATGTTATACCCTGGGCCAAGCATATTCAAACCACCATAGATGTAAATCCATTCATCTGTTCTGCCAGCATCTTCATGGAAAAACAGGTGAGTTGGTGTTTCCTTTCTTCCTTTTCCTCTCTCAAGGTACATAAATTTATCTACAGCCTCTATAAGTTCATGTCACAAGAGAGACCACGCCTCCCACACACTGCCCCAGGCAACAGGAAGGAGAGAATCCAGTGAGGGCTGGACACCGAACCTCAGTACCCTTTGTGATGAGTTCCCTATATATAGTATAAGTCGGTTATAGGCTCGAGGAGCAAGCTAGAGCATGTTCTTTGATAAACCAGCTGCCACCTGGCTAAACAAAGAAACGAGGTCATGACACATAGCCAAATAAAGAGGCAGGGTTATTACATACAGATAAACAGTGAGGCAAGGTTTAGGGTGTGCAGCTGGATTAGCTTATCTCAGGAGGAGCAGCCTCTGCAGGGAAGCAGTCTTTAGGCCTGAAGTATCCATAGAGAAGAAAGGTATGTGGCCATATTCCTCACACAATCAACATCCATACATGGACCACAAGGAAGGCTTGGTCATTTCTCTTTGGGTCAGAGCCTAGGATCCTGGACATGGTTGTGCCTATGCCAATAGTACACATTCAGTCAGGATGTCACAGAATCCAGGCTTTCTACACTCCCCACAACCTCATAACCTCCTAATTTTCTTTTTGAGGGGAGTGGGAATTGGCTTTTCTGATATGGGGTCTCAAGTAGTCCAAGCCAGACTTGAACTCACTCTATAGATGAGGATGATGTTCACTTTTGATCCTCCTGCCTCTGTACCTCTGGCTCCACTGTTTTCTCACACTTTAAAATTAGGCAGGAACAAAGCTGGGTGTGTTGGCTCAGCTCTGGAGGCAGAGCAGGCTGATCTCTGTGGGTTCCAGGCTAGTCAGAGTTACACAAGGAAACTGTGTTTCAAAAAAAGGGGGAGGGGGCAGAGACAGTCCTCTTTGTTAAATCTGCACCTTGCCTTGATCCTACATCCCACTTTTACATGCCCTTCATGGGTCTGAATCCCTGGAAGAGCCTTGCCATGGCCCTTTTGATATTGGGAACTGTGGTGGTTTGAACAGGTTTGGCCCCCCCATAGACTCTTGTGTTAAATGCTTGGCACTGTTGGGAGTATGGCCTTTTTGGTGTTGGTGTGG